AGAGGAGAGGAGAGGAGAGGAGAGGAGAGGAGAGGAGAGGAGAGGAACCACCTTTCAGCTCTGCTTTCAATGAGCTCTCATTCCTTTCAAAACTGAACATCTATTTTCTTTACTTCTGAGAGTTCTTGAAGATTTTATGAAAACTAAAGTTTTGGCTGTCAAGTACCTCAGTACTGTAAGTTTGAAAAGCGTTTTTGAAATCTATGCAGCCAAAAAGATAAATTTTTAAAATTAATGTTACGCTGCCTTTCATCAGGACTCTAAAACTAGTCAGAAAGCAAAGATCTACTTGGCCCAGTATGTGTGTTTGACAGAGGCAACTGGAGAAGATCCATCTTTAGGGGGAGATCCATCTTTTTCCAGTGTAACTTTCCCAGATTCTGGACAATTCATGTTTTAAGAACTTTGAGAGAGAGGACTTACATGGCACCACTATATTGAATATAGCTATGAGTGAACTGATTTGCTGTCTGTTTAGCTAATACCTTTTTAGCCTGCTTTAAAGGCTAGTATTCAGTATTCTTGATTTGATATTCTGAATTAAGTTAAAGGGAATTTTCTTTCATGGTGATTTTTTTTTTTTAAGCATAGGACTCCTGCTATCTGTCTCCATAATCCTGTCTTTAAAATAGGATATTAAGAGCAGAGATGTCTCAAAAAAAGGAAGAAAGGACACATAGCAGGATTCTTTTTATTTAGGAAAATTAAGAAGAGACTATTAGGTATCATGTCTGGAACCAGAGAAACAGGGGAGAAAACCCCAATTAATCTTACAGGAATAAGAAAATGTCTGTGTTTTGTGTGAAAAATCAGTGACAAGTAGTGGTAGATACATCTGTATTATATGTCCATATCTTGTCTGAGGCAAGGGAGAAAGAAATAGCCAGTAAGGTAGGAGGAAACTACAAAAAACATTTGTTCTGGTTTGTATTCGTGACAGGACTTCATTCAGTTCCTGAAAGTGTCAGAAATGCCAGCAGCAACACCCACAGAAAGAGTAACTTGAACTTGACTTGCAGACACTTGATGTGTTTAGACTCTGCAGCTGCCCTATGGGGCAGGAACAGCTATGTGTGAACTGCAGAGTGCAGCACATAGATTACAGCCTGTTGAAACTGTGCAGCCTGAAAAAAGCCTCTTACAAATACACAGTTGGACAGCTGCTCTGGCGTGATGCAGCAGTTTTGTATTGTACCATAGGCATTATTTTTGGATAGGAACATGGCTTAGGGAGGATCACTCTGGTTTGAGTGATGCCATGTTGGCACTATATCAGGACAAAAGCTTTTGTGAAATTTTTGCTCCAGCCAAATGCCCCTCCTCTTGCTGCTATAATGAGGATAAAGACAGCATGATCAGAAACCCTGTCTCTGCAACAAGCCTTAGATCAGGTTTGTAGTCTTTGGGACCACGGAAAAGCAACATTTACAATTACAGCTTTTGAATGAGAGCAGTCATTCACAGAAAAACATCAGGATCAGCCTTAAATTATATTTTATTCTTTACTATTGAGCTGCAACTTAGTTCATTGCTGAAAGCAGCACTCACTTCCTTTGGTAATGAAAAAAAAAATAGTGAAGGTGTGGAAAAATTCCCCAATACATCTGCTATCCTTTTTCAAATTGAAAAGAAGTCAAAGTTTGGTGAAGGTGGTCAATACTGAGAAGGTTTTTCCTAAAGTAATTTTCTGCTTCACACCACATACATATTTAAGTATTTATTCCTGGACATAAAGTGTAGTTTTGGAGTTTGGTTTGGAAGTAAATGTTGGGATCAAATGAGGAAGATGTAGACTTGTCTAACCCATCACCAGTCACCACACAACTTTGTCAGTATATGCTTTGTCTCATCCAGCCATTTGTTCATTTGTGCCTTAAGGTGTAAATAATACAAGCAAATTTGATAAAATAAGAAGAGAATGTTCTATTTTACTTGATTTTACGGGGGTTTTGAGGTAGATTTTAGAACTATATTTATGGCAGAATACAGAAACAAACCAAGTGATGGCCATGTCTGAATGCTTCCAAATATAGGGGAGCTAGTTCCAGGTTTTCTGGATAGCCTTTAAAAGATCTAATTTCTTTACTAGCTCTGATGAACTTTAGGAAGGTTCAGTTGAGGTGCTGAGCTGAACTTTTTATGCTTTGGGCTCGTCTTCTGGGCAACTAAATGTAAAATAATAATATATTACAGTGAGCGTTTGCATATATTATCTAAAATGTTAGTTACAACTAGGGTGATTAAATGGAAAATTACCATTTAAAACACATATGTTACACGTAGCTTTTTTTTATATTCTTTAACCTGTCTTACTGCCTTTTCTGAAGCTGTAAGTAAACACCTGCTTAAAAAGGTAATAAAGAATGAACTCAAAATTGTGTCAAATTCAGGAGTGTCACTGGTAGGACTTAAAAAAATACATTTTTCTTGTCTCTCTGGTTTTCCAGGAAATGACAAGCTAGCATATGCTTTCAATTTTTGAGGTCAAAGTTATAATTTTTGTTCGCTAAGTTACATAGGAGAAAACTTTGAGGAATCTTTAATATTGCCAAATATGTAAAGGGCAGCAATGCAAGAAGAAAACAGAGCCATGGAACAAAGTAGTTCGTGCACAGAAGAGAGATTTATTTTGGCTCAGCAGAGCCATATATAAACTTTCTTTTCACTGGTGACTTCAGAGTAGACGACATAAGAGAGGCAGTTAATAATTTCTGGCTTTGAGCTACAACCCTTTTTTTTTAAGTGCATTCTTTTAAATTTTTAAACAAGAGTCAGTGAATTAAAACAATAGTGAATATTTTTCTGGGTATAAGCTAATGATATTAATTTGCTTATAAAATTCTTGTGTTTCAGAAATTAACCCTCTTAAAAATATATGTGTTTTTATATTTGAGTTCTCCAAGAGCCAGTCTCTAAGGGTTAGATTTATGAAAATGTAGTTAAAGACTGTTATTAAGAGTATAGATGGGTTCCTGTTCTTTGGGTAAATACAAGTGGTTTGAAGACCTGCCCACAACTGAGATAAAAGACAACATGTCCAGTGATTTCATAGAACTTGGAATTAACTTACCTTCCTATATATCTTGCTTTAAAGTCTTTTTAAAGTAAAGACCACGAGGCAAAGAAAACACCCCACTCACTAGCTAGAAAAATTCAGTTGCCATATTTTATGAATTTCAGTTTTTCGTGTAGAATTTGAAGGTATTTTTATGACATTATTTAACTGTGCCATAGAAATATACTGTCACTGTGTAACTGACTGTTGGTAAGAAACTGGCTGCAATAGTTCTCCTTTATTTATAGTAGTAATAAAGCAGATCACATAAAAACAAGTGCTTTTCACACTAGAATTAAGTAAAATCAGCTGAAGTTAATTTTAAGGGTATCAACAGGAGAACACTTGCCAGCTCTTGAGTGACCCATTATTTTTACTGTTTCTTTTTGGGGGAAATTGGGAGGAGGAGAGAGACTCTTTATAATTGCAGTGTAATAAAAGATGTATTATATATTACATCACAGCACATAAAAGTCAGATGTATAAGTTGTGTTAAAGGATACATTACAGAATTATGTATAGAGCATGGTTGTTATAATGTGAGAAGAAGAGTTATTACCATTTTTGTGTTGTATTCCAGCAAGCTGTGACCTTTTATTCTGTTCCCTTAAAAGCAGATAATGGCAGCTGAAATAACCTGCTCCCTATTCTAAACCAGATAAGAATTGCCTTGTTTTGTGATTAAATGGAAACCAGAAAAAATATTGAAGTGGCTTCAAGCAGCTAGGCTATGCTATTCTAGAATTACGATTTTTCCCTTAGAATATTTGGAGTTCTGCTGCTTTTTCTAGAATCTGGTCAGCTGGAACAGCAACTCGAGGAGGCCAGCACTGCAAGGAGGGAATTGGATGATGCTTCCAGACAAATAAAGGCTTTTGAGAAGCAAGTCAGAACACTGAAGCAGGAGAGAGAAGATCTTAATAAGGTAAAAAAATCATTTTGTCAGCGACTGTTGTAAAACCTCAAGACTGTTTTATTTTTGTTCATTTTGCTTGTATTAACTTTCAATTGTAAAACTAATGAGCAGATAACAAGTGTGTAGCATGACCTACTTAGCTTTCTATCTTTTTTTTTTTGTTGTTGAAGAAAAGGACATTATTTAACATGTTGTGTGTATGACTGCTGGGTGCTCCCTAAGCGACTGCCTACAGATAGTGAACAACTCCATAATCCAAATTGCATGGTGGCTACAAAAAAGGTTTTATAGCTTCACATTTAGGTGATAATGATAGGGGTTAGAAGACTGAGTAGAGAAGAACTATTCCAGACAATTTAATCTGAAGTATGGGTGAGACTTTAACAGTGAAAAAATGTGAAGAATGGTATTAAGGCGGTGTCACAGAAGTGTTTCTAGAAGGGAGATGTAAAAAATTGCCCAAACGAAGATAGAAAAGTAATTTGATATAACTACAGGTAAAGAATACTGGATTTTACTTTTTCTTCTCTATCTCCCTGAGGTCTTGTTTTCTTATTTATAACATACTGTGCTATTTCATGGCCCTTTTCTGTATTCATTATTAAATCAACCTGTAATCAGGTGTGAAATACATAAAACCTGTTTTTCATCATGATTGTATTGGCCCAGTATTATAGAGTCCACACTAAAGTTGATGTGTCAGCTCAGTTTAACACTGTTTCTTCTGACCCTTAAGGCTCTTAAAATTTTGAAAGCTGCCAGTTTGTCCCAGGAAGACCATCTCTCTTCTAAACCAACTCATAGTGATTAGGACCTCTTTTTAAGAACATTAGAAATGTTTTTAGATTTACATGGATGTCAGCAGTGCCAAATATTAATTCTTCCTGTTGGTCTTCTTTTTATCCTGATATTTGCTTTTCCTTGCTTCTTTTTTCTGCTCTGGTTTGACTGAACATTACTGAACTATTTAAACTGTTGTGGTCCCTCATTGGTAGTGTGGTGGCACAAACCTCGGGCACAGCAAGCTTTGTGAAGGTATTGTGGTGTGGAGTTATCACTGCACTAGCAGTGTTATTTCATGCTGGTTCTTTGAAAAGAATAGTTATCGTATATTGCTTTTATTCACTGCAGTGTTTTGTTGCCTGAAACTTTCTCTGATATTTGGTATTAAGGTACAGTGTATGGAAATCATATTTGCCATTGCAGGCCAGTTTTCTAAAGCTTCTTGAGTAAAAATTTTCTTAGTGCAGAGTTTTCCATTCAGATTTAATGATTTAGCACTTGAGATTCTTGTAATTTATTTAAGGAATTTTTAAAAACCAGTGCTAATGACATTTTTGCATTAAGAAAGCAAGGTATTTTTATATTGTAATGCAAGTGCTTGAAAACCATTGTGTTTACCTGTAATAATGGAGTAATTCCTACTTGGTTTACATTTTTGGAGTTTGACTTACTCTAGTAGTGTAAAATACGCCTCTTTCCTTATTTATAGAGGCATGTAATCTGTATTGTAGATGCATTCATGAAATAAAAAAGAATATGTAGTTTCTCTTCACTCTGGAGAATGCGTTAGATGCGCATCCAAAGACAGAATTGGCCTTGTAGCTTTCTAGGTTTATTACTGAATTCTTTTTTTAAACTATAGGAACTGGCAGAGTCTAGTGACAGATTAAAATCCCAAGCCAAAGAGCTGAAAGATGCACACAGCCAGCGGAAATTGGCAATGCAGGAATTCTCAGAGATGAACGAGCGGCTGACAGACTTGCACTCTCAAAAACAAAAGCTTGCCCGCCAGCTCCGAGATAAGGAGGAAGAAATGGAAGTGGTGATGCAAAAAGTAGAAAGTTTAAGGCAAGAGTTACGCAGAACAGAGAGACTTAAAAAAGAAGTAAGTGGTGAGAAGACTGTTTAGACTCTATGAAATAAGTTATATGTAAGGTTTTTTGAGTATTTTATTTATTTGTAAATCTTTAACCTTTTGTCTGTTGTTTCAAACAGTACCAATTTTGTTTTCTAAGATTTTGAAGTGTTCAGTTTGGTGCTGAAGATTTCTCTCTTATATTGAAAACCATTAATAGATTTTGGAAACAAAATACAGAATCCTATCTATTAAAAACGTATGTACTTTTGTAGCTGGAAGTCCAAGCTGAAGCTGCAGCTGCTGAGGCATCCAAAGACAGGAAATTGCGAGAGAGGAGTGAACAGTACTCTAAACAGTTGGAAAGTGAAGTAGAAGGGCTAAAGGTTAGTCTGTTTTGATATTAACACCTGCAAACTTACTAGTCAACTAGGACTTGGATCTGTTTGATTGCTTTCAGATGTAGGACAAAAGGGTTTTGTCAGTCTGTCACATCAGTTGGTGCTGAATGTTAACGCAGGCATGCATTGCATTATTGCCCAGAAAAATGAGTATTTGCCTGATGTGCTATTTCTTAATAAGCTACCATGTCTTACCACCTTGCTTCCATTAATACTTTGTTTAACTTTATCTGTTAAAAGCTTTTTTTTTAGCATAGCATGGTTGAATATTTGAAGATAAACTTGCAATCTAGGCAGGTTTCTGTATAGGTGTTCTGTCTGCTGTGTTGTTTCTCATGTTTCCTGCACAATAGATGTCAACTGATATAACCATAAAGGAACATTCTTCCTCTCAGCCAGAAGATGAGACATTTTTGCCCAAGAAGAGCATTGAGCATGAAGGCTTTCTTTATATTGATGAGATTGCTCACATGTGCATGTGATTTTAAAAGAAATTTAAGGCAGCCAAGAAATGTTAACTGTTATTTTATTCTGTTATTTAGCTTTTTATGCAGTGCTCTAGAGAAGTTAGGCTTTCTCAAAAATTGAAGAGAAAGTTTTAAATTTACTTATGCAGCTTGCTGTTGATTTACAGCAAAATCCTGTTCCAAATATTTCATTCAGTAGGGTAATTCTAAACTTTTTGGGCAAAATGTGAGATTAGTTTTAATCTGGTCTTAATTTAAATGAACAACTGTCCTGGTTTGAAAGACAGGTGTCTGCTAGGGAAAGCAGGGCCTTCCCTTGAAATGGAGAAAATAAATTCTCTCCCTATGAACTAGTATAATTCTGAAATTAAGGGAGTCTCAGGAAAAGATACGGGGATAGGAATAACAGATCTTTACCAGTATGTATAACAAGACAAACAAAAAACAACTATGGAATAATCTCCCAGCCCTGGGATGGTGGGGGGTAGCAGCGACCCTCCTCCTCCAAAGCCAAGAGTGAGCAAGAGAGAGAGCAACTCCTCCCATTCTGCTTTAAATGCTTCTCATCTCCAGGTGTCCCCCCACACCCTCTGAGAGAATCTCCCAAAAAACGAGGGAGGTTCCCCCTCCCCCGTCTCAAGGAACTAGCCATCAGTGCTTCTTACCATGTCAATGAGATGCCTGGAAAAAGTTCCACAGGCAAAGAGGAAAGGAAAAACCAACCCCCAACAGTAATCAAGTCTTTTTTCATTAGAGTTCTCTGTGGCATTCATCAGCATTAAGTTATGGCACAGAAAATTTGGTGGTTTTTTGCAAACATTTCCTTTGCTAAAAGAAAATAAGGAAATCCATTCAATATGAAGTTAATATTAATAAAGTTTCTACTGTTGTGAATTCAGATTGCTATCTGAAAATTAACATGTGTTTCTTCTGCATTCATGAATCTTCCCTATCAGCAAAGAATTTGTATGACAGTTTAAGAGGCAAGAAGAATTTATGGGAGATCTGTTGAGAATAAATGATATGCTGATTTATAACAGCAGGGCAAGCTTGTCAGAATAAGAAAAGGGAATTTTAGCTTTCTTGGTAATATTTTACAATTCAGTAAGCACACTTTGAATCACGTGTGGTTTTTGTGATACTGCACTGTCCATTCAGTAAAAGCTCTGCATGGCTCCTTATTAAATTCAGGGAGCTCTCCTACACAAAAGTAAGTATTTAAAGAAGAAGGAAGGTTTCTCCAAATGAGGAGAATAGAAAAGACCATAAATTATGGAAGGCTAAGTGTAAACAGGATGTTGAGAGCTAAATAAAAAGAATTTAGGAAGCATTTTGCAGAGGATGCTCAGAGTGACTGGGGAGAGTTCTTTAAATCCAAAGCAGAAAACCTCAGGAAACTCATGGGGCTGCTTGGGGATGGAAAAGGCAATGTCTGAGCTAATAGAGCTGTGGCAAAAAATGCTCCACAAGTCCTCGGTGTGTCACACTTCACTGCTGAAGGAGGGGAGATTGCCACACAGTGTGTTCTTTGCAGCAGGCTGAGCAGATGAGCTGGATGTGTCTGGGATGATTGCAGAAAGCAGGGGAGCTGGCAGGTGAGTCAGATGTGAAGTCACCTGAGGGAATTCTGAAGGAACTTAAATGAGAACTGCTGGCCTAGATGTGAACCCTCTTATTACAGGCAGCCCACTCTGCCACTGTCACTGTTATTCAGAACATCTGGGGAGGTGCAGAGGCCTGGGTGCAGCTTCCTCAGGAAAGGAGTAGGGCCTGTGGTAAAGGGTAAGGTCAGAGAGTTCATGGATGAAGCAGAGCCCATTGGGAAGAAGGCAGTGTGCCTTCTGTCCAGCCAAGTGCTGCAGCACTGACCTGCTGAGGTTCTGCAAACTCGTCAGTGATGTGTGTGGACAGAGGGGATCCTGTGGATGTCATGTATGCAGATTTTCAGTAAAATCAGACTCGGTGTTAGTCAGCAGTGTGCCCTGTTAGCCGAGAGGGGTGCATTAAGCAACAGCTGTCAATGTGCCAGGAGATGCATTATGTCTCAGTTTCACCATTTGTCCACTTGAAGTAGGCATGTATGAAAACATCTATTTGGAATATGCACTTACATCAAATAAAAATGTAATCTCTGTTTACTGTATCTCTCTAGTTCTCTAAGCCATTGTTCAATACCATTCGGCTTTCTCTTCTACTGCACCATCTCTCTTATGGTTGCAATAGTATCTTTCCATTGTGGTAAAAAATGTGCAATTCCACTAAAACATTTTATGTACCCAACAGAGGATGTTGCAAAGCTTAAACTTTTTCTGTGCTCCATTACCCTGTATATATGAGCAATTCATGATGTTGGGCAGTAACAAATAAGTTCCATAGTTAATTGCCTGTGCATGAAAGAAATTCCAATGCTTGCTTTTTAAAAAAACCAACTTTCTTTCTCCAAAGCATCTCCTGTTAGGATGGCATCTTCCTTCTCCAGTTTATCATTCTGCATCCTAAGGGCAGGATTTTACTCTTAGATCAAAACAGATGGTTGTTTTGATGAGTTAGAGAAAATGGTGCAGTAGCAGCACATCTCTGGCTCATACATGTAGGGGTTTTGCAGTTTTTTTGCTGACACAAACAGCAAGGCCCAGCTTTCTCACAGAATTTGTCATGGTACAAATTCAGCTCATTGGAATGTTCTACAATGACATTTAGCTCTTAAAGCCTGTTGATACATCAGCAAAAGAAAATTACCAAAAGCCACGCCAAATTTAAGGTGACTGAGAAGTTTTTACCATCTCATGATAAGAATGGAGGTATAATTAAAAAAATACCTTCAGTCCTCTGGAAGGTGTGACACAGTCACCATAAGGAAGTAGGTTTTCCAGTTTCTCAAAAGAGTGTTTTTATGAATTTGCTTTCCTTAGAATACCTTTAATTGCATACTTTAAAACAAGAAGAAATTCCAAACCAAGTTGTGCATATGTTGACATTAAAAAGTTATTTCCATACTTGGATTTCAGTGCATGTCATGCCACTATCTCATTTTGAACCTGATCTTGCTCCTCCTCTATGTTATGGCAGGACATTGAGTTTAGTGAGTGCAGCATTTGGTGCAAATGTGTATGTATCCTGAAGCAGTGTGTAAAGACTATTGAAATGCCTGAAGACCTCACTAAGAGAGCTATGAAACTGCGAAAAGTGAAGTAATTACTCTTATTGTTTAAAGCTTGTTTTTCCTATTAATCCACTGTGATAGAAACGGTCCATTTCAGTAAAATAGGTCAGATTTCCCTCCTGACTGATACAATCCATGTGGTGTTTCTGTAGCTAGACTTTAGCCTTCAGTTAAGCCTCTGCTTGTCTTAGTATAACTTTTCCAGAAACTATTTGTCCTTCAGAATATAGTAACTGTATATCCTAGTCCTTATTCTGCATTTCTGAAAGTCATTTGAACTTGTTGCTGTCAGCTGTGTGAGTGGAAGCATCGAAGTCTTTAATTCTGCGGTCGCTTCCTGACTGCATTTAAGGTGTTTAAAGTGATGATCAAATTTTCAATGGCTTGAAAACTATTACTGCACTTAAATAACAAAATAATAGAGTGTCATCTAGATTTATACTCTTAACAAATATTGAAAAAAAATGAGATCGATGTATTTAACTCAAGGCTCTAAGGGGATATTTCTAAACAAAGACTTTGGAATATTGAGCTGTTATTAAGCATCGTTTTCAGCATTCTTGAGTGTTAATTTGGGGCTATATATTTTAGCAAAAACAGGTTGGTCGTTCACCTGGGGTAAGCAGTATAGAACACCAGCAAGAGATCACTAAATTAAAGGCAGACCTGGAAAAGAAGAGTCTTTTCTATGAAGAGGAACTATCTAAACGTGAAATGATGCATGCTAATGAAATAAAAAGTCTGAAGAAAGAACTACGGGATGCAGAGAGCCAGCAGCTTGCCCTCAAGAAGGAAATCATGGTTTTGAAAGACAAGTTAGAGAAAACCAGAAGAGAAAAGTGAGTATTGTATGAAATTTACTTGTTTTTAACCCTTTGAGGACTCCTAGTATTGTTCCAAATACACTTCCTTAAGTGTAATGCATACTGTTGAATGTTGGCTGAGCCGATGCCAGAGTTGAAAACAGTAACCTTTAAAAACAGAGCAGAACAAAAAACTCCACATTCTTGTACTGAAACAGGTAATTTTGCATCAGAACTGTTTTACTGGCTGACCATTCCAAGGTATGTAACTGGAGTTCCATACTTGCTGCTTGGGGTATGTTGACCCCTGAAACTTATGTTGCACTTTAAAACAGTTTTTCAACATTTTTCTTTTATTTGGTATTTTCATCTTTTGATGCAGAACTAATGTGTTAGAGATCAAGCATTGTTTACATTTCTGCCAGCACAGGAACAGTCACTTAATGTGAGCTGAGGCTAATCCATGCTGGGTTCCATCCAGTGTTAACATCAGTCAGCAGACTACTGTGGGCGTAAGCTGCTTTATCTCTTCTGACACGGTAATTTGTCAGACCTGATTTTTTCTCTCCCACACGGTGGAGCTTATAACTGGCCTTGAGATTGTTCCTTGAGGCATTCATCAATAAAAACAAGTTTTTCTCTTGGATGGTGTAGTAGTGGGAATAAGTTATAAATTGAACATGCTCATGTTCATTCATAAAAAATTCAGAATGCTTCATAGACATAAATGAGTCTTTTTGCTGCTGTAGCAAGATGGCAGATGAGAGAAACCATGGAGAAGTCTCTGCTGAGAGCTTAGCCAAACTATAGCAAGACCTTTAAATATAAGTAGTAAATTAAATACAGTTTTTTTCCAAAAAGTTTATGCAAATAAGGGGGGAAACACTGTCTAGTAAATTGTATTCAGCAGGAATCATAGGTCCTACAACCTAGAATGCAGTGCATGAGCTGTTTCTTTCTAGCATGCAACTCTTCAATAGGCTGGACCTACTAACAGGACAGGAGTTTGGACAGGAGTTTGCTGCATTGTTCTAGGTGGAGAGGTAAAACTTGCCTCAACAGCATGTTTTCATTGTGACACAACTGTCTTGCTGACCAATGAGTTACAAATGCAAAAAAGGCTATTCTGTTTTCTAAAATATAAAGGTGATGGTATGACACGTTTTTAAGTCCAGCAGTGTCTCAGAAGGAGGAATATTCACCAAACAATCATGAATACTTCTTTCTGCAGGTTATTCTGTTTGTAAGCATCATACCTCCAAGCAGTGACTGAACAAAAAGCTCCTTCTTCCCCAATTCTAATGTTGTACAGCTGCAGGCTTTCTAACTACATGTCCGTTCTAGCTCGTTCATAAACTCTCTGTCAGTCTAGTCTCACTCTAGAAATAAAAAAAAACTGGGTACAAATCTGCAGCGAGTGCTGTCATAACCATGTGTTAATGTCTGTGTTTCAAGTGTTTGTGTAAGAGAACGTTTTAAAGTGTGAGCAGTAATGTGTCACATAACCAGTATTAGACACTTGGCTCCTCATGGCAAGGAATGCAGTCCTGTTAAGTTGGGTGTCCAAGCACATGATTGGTGCTTGGTAAAGGCCTGATCTTACCTGTGTTTTGTTAAACAAATCTGCAAAATCTCATGCAAGCATTAGGACTCCACAGAAAGGCAGAAGTCCACTGTTCAAGTTATGCTATGGTTTGACTTCTGCAATTTAGAAGGGAAGCTTAAGCATTAGGAATGCAGGAATTGCTGTTGCTACTCAATATTTGGTCGTTTTTGTTAAGAGAACATAGATTTTCTACTTCTGGTTATCCATATTGTTTTTAGCTTTTGTAGTCTGGCATGAAAAGCTTTTTGTGAGTCTTCCAGTAGAGAGGTGTTGAATGTAAGCACTGAAAAGGAAGCACCTGGAGGTTTTGTGCTGAAATAAGTGGAATTATTTCAACAATAGGCTTGGGGTGGCCATGGAGTTGAAGTGTGCTTATACAGTTTGGCAAAAATATTTTAGTAGTCTAAAAATAACTTTCAGTGCATATTTAAAAAGATCTTGGTAAGAGGATGTGGTTGTATTATTGTGTATGATGAGTGAATTACACAGTTATTCTAAGCAAGGATCAGTAAGAGCTTTGACAAAATCTGTATGTAAATTTTTGTGTAACTTGCACATTAGTGGTTTATATTTTACATTTTTTAAATAAATATTTTTGTTTCTTTCAATTTTAAAAGCATATGCTATTTCAAAAGCATAAGTCTTCAAGGGAGAGATTACCTTCCCGTAAAATGATTGCAAAATGATTGCACTTTGCTGAAGTCTCATAAACTGCATGCTATTAAAGTTGGAAGCAGAGGAACACAGTATCAGGCCAGTGATCTGTGTAGCACAAGATTGCATTTCTTAGAATTGTCATTAGGAAGTATTTCAGAAGAAGATGCAAGGAACTGTGTAAAATAAATCACACTTGTAGAAACTTATTTTAGGTCCGTCATTTCATGATGGATTTATAAAGCAGAGAGGTTTATAGAACAGCATTTGCTGGTTTTAAATTGTGTGATATGAAGAAGCCTGAGGGCTGGTGTTTGTTTCAGGTCTATTTTTCTTGGTTTCAAAGCAGTAAGATAAAATATTTGGCCACTTTGTACCGATGCAATAAAGAGCTGGAGTGACAAAGTGATACCATAAAGCAGTATTTCACATTGCTTGGATGTGGTTTGCTGCAGTTTTACTGATAAAAAGAAAGCTGGGTTATGTATATTTTCTTAACTTGAAGAGGAGACACATAGCTAAATGTTAGATGAGAGAAGTTTGATGGGAGAGGAGGATGCCAGGCTTCAAAGCCAAAGCATTATTTTGATCTTGGTGTCTGTTCAAGATAGACCTATGGAGTCTGTCACAGTTCTGTTGTTTGCTGAGTAGCCCTTTGGGTGTGATGTATTATACTCACATTTTCCTCTGTTTCAAATTTATCTTCATTTCTATGTTATACTGTAGCAATCTGACTTACTGAAGTAATGACAATCACCAGCTGAATTAAGAATATAAAATATAGAAAATTACAAATATGTTGGGCTCTTTCACTAATCCATAGCATCCTTAATCCACCACCATTTATGGCTGCTTTCAGCCCTAAAGGCTTAAAGGAATAAATTTAAGACAAATACAGAAAAATATTCCAAAACAGACCCATGAAAGCTGGTAAAAAAATTATTTAAAGTTAGTTTGGTCTTCTGTCTGCAAAATTAGTTTTGAATCTACGCATTGAAAACAGAAGCAGGACCTGTTGTTAATTCCTATGACAGCCAATGCTTTAATCTCTTCCTGCTTTTTTCCTACACTCTTCATCATATGCATGGAATCTATTGATACAGAAAAAGAGTGGTGGTGAATTTCAAACTTGGCATTTAAACAGTGAGATAGTATGTAACTTTACTAGGATGAAGTGTTATGTTTCAAAGGACGCCTGGCAACATAGAATTTCACTGTAAGCCTGACATGTTGTACTAGATTTCAAAGAGTGGTTGAAGCACTAAATGAATTTCAAATTAAGAGTAGGAAATTCAAACCAGCATTGCTCTGAACTGGGTTCAGCGTAATCACTGACATTTCTCATCACTGGAGGGTGTTCTCTCAATTAGGCAAAACTGCAGTAGTTCTACATCTCAGAAGAAGAAGCAAGAATGTAATTTATGTTTGCATTGTGTAAAATTCTGATCAGTATCTAGAAAAAAAATTGCAGTGCTCAAGACAAAGTTTCCACTGGATTTTATTTTTACACAGGTAACCTTTAATACTGGGCACTTTTTCAGGTCTTTTCAGACTGGACAGTGTTATTTGCTGAGTGGATATTTTCTGTATCTGTGGCATTTACAGTATAGTTCTATCAAACTGCTGATGAACTTTGTGCCAATGACCAGAATAATTGGTAAAAAGGTGATATGAGATGCAAGTCTCATGAATCTGAAAACAGTAGATACAAGGTGGGAGTTACACATCTAAAACATTGCTGTGCACCACTTGAAGGAAATTCTATGGATTTTATGGCAAAGAGCCTGCAGCTTTGTTAGTCTTCAAGTTCTCACATTCATTGTGCACGGTCAAAGTTAATATTAAGGAGATTCTGCCAGGGGTTCTCCTCTACTCAATGACATCCATGGGAGAAGGGAAGGTTTGGGGGAAACAGCTACTGTGAGACTTTCTCAGAAAGAATGGTCCAAGCTTGCTGTAGAATCTTGTGATATTAAGAATGTGTAAGTTACCCATCCACTTTTTGCTCCTAGTGAGTGTATGATACCTGAATTAACAGTTCAGATATGACTTCTGGGCTATTCTAAATTGCTCAAAGACCAGCCCATATAAGATGTACTCATCAGAGACCCAGGCCCAAGTGCTATAATTTAGCTTTTGTATTGTGTGGTCATTCTTGCCTGTCATTCTGTGTGAAACTTGGAATTATAGAAATGTGTGTGTTACAATAATGTTCATGTGAGCTGAGAACGTGCCCTGAGCATTTTACAGCGTTGACACATGCTTTGGTTTGTAGGATGACAGCTGCTCATTGTTTAAAGGATACATCTGAAGAATAAAATTTGTGTGAGTGGGCTGATAAACACTGGCTTGGTGGAGCTCTGTTAGTTCTGCACTGGAGGATACTTTACTAACTCTAAAATTGAACAGGCTTGCAGTCCTGAGACGGTGATATATTAAACTGCTTAATTTTAATAGGTGTGCTATTATCAATGTAGTACTTCCCTTCAACATGTGTGTGCATTGATCTCTTTGTGTTTAAATGAATAATGGGGTGAGTTAAAATAGAAAACTTTGTAATTCTGCTTCACTGTATTTCTTAGCCAAAGTGAGAGAGAGGAATTTGAAACCGAGTTCAAACAAAAGTATGAACGAGAAAAGATCCTGCTGACAGAGGAAAACAAAAAACTTACAAATGAACTTGATAAGGTAAGTGCTGATTAGTTGAGCCCTGAATTTACAACTAGTATATCCTATGTACAAACTGGACAATATGGAGATGCATTGGTTATTGCTAAGTCTTAACTGAAAGCAGAAATTGATGTTGCACCAAAAATTGATGATTAATATTAGATTTGACTAGAGTATCTACAGGCATCTGAACTTGAGACATCTGAAGTTGCATATATATATATATATATATATATGTATGCATATGTGAGTATTTATGTGTGGGAATGGAATTAGATGGTCTTACATTTTTGTAAAATTAATTCTAGACAGCACTGTAAGCCAACAAAAAAGGATTATTTCATTGTATGACCCAAATATAAAAATACATAGTTAATGATGAGATTACTTAGAGTACATTTGCACGTCAATCATTTGAAATACCAGGGCCCCTCCTACCTTTTGAGATTAAGTGTTTCTTTGAGATACTGAAAAAATACAAATGATAAGGCATATTAACTGAACTGCATTGAGCAAGAAATAATTATGATTCTTGAATTTGGATTGTGTCTTTATTGTTCATTTTGACAGGTTATTCAAGTTCATTGTGCATTATCCAAATCTTGCTAAACTTGTCTATTCCTTTTGTAATGCATTAGATTTTCTAAAAATATGATGAAAGTACAATGTTCTTCAAAGTAAGCATGTTTGCATGTCTGTGCTCAAATTACAGTATATTTTCATACCAGTATAAGACAGACAATATATAGTCTATAGGTAGGCTTAGTCCAAGAAAACTAAGAAAGAGCCTAGTCACTTTGATAGTTTTTCAGCTCTCTCTCTCTTCCCCCATTACCTTTGTATTTTTCTTGTCAAATGACATATAATAAGTAGGCATATTTAAATTATAAGCCCATTTAAATGATAAATAGGGTGTGGAGTTATTCATATTTGGAGTAAAAAGCAAAATAGGTTTTAAATTGGCCATTCTTTTATCATTTGAATTGTTAATATCTTTCAGTACCAAAAGAAGCTTTCACCTGAGATTTCATTCTCCTAAGCAGGCCTTCCCATAAAGTCTATCTGGTCTCTGATTCCAATTTGACTTTCTGAATAATTACTTAACATAATGAAGGTTTAGTTCCCAATACCAGCTTGGGTGATCTGTGGCTTTTGTCTTGCAGAATGTGCCTGTATGAATGGCAGCAATTTGAATGAGAGAGGTTAATTGCTAGGTATAACATATGTACTTAGAGATGTGCATTTAATTTCAATTTTCCTGTCTTCAAGTAAGTCAAACAAAAAATAGGAGAATGTGAGACACCTGGAGAATCTCAGGACTGTCTCACGCCTGTATCTGTTCAGTCTCTCTCTCTCTATGGTTACTAAACAAGGGAGAGGTTCAGCAGTCTTATCTGTGCCATAACAATTTTTATGTCCTTGCTTTGCTCTTTTAGCATAGATTTTTCTATACAGAACATTCCACACCTGTATGGTGCAAAGCAGAAACCTTCTAAGAGTTTTAGAGATACTTGGAGACTTAAATCTCAGAAAACTCATTAAATTGATAGAATAAAAGTGTTGTTCAAGTCCTTAAAAGTGGCTTTTTAGTACAGCTAAGATTATACCTAAGAGATTCTGACTTTTTATTGTTACATGGTGTTTAATGTGATGGCCAATACCAATTTCTAAAGCAGGTACAAGGTGTGGGAGAGGGGAACATGGTTTTGAGTCTGCACAGAGAGGGAGTCACAGCAGTTTATACTTTTAACTAGTTGTTTAAATTCTCCTTCAGCTCACCACCATGTTTGAGAGACTGAGTATGAATAATCGACAGCTGGAGGAAGAGATGAGAGACCTGGCTGATAAGAAGGAGTCTGTGGCTCACTGGGAGGCCCAAATCACTGAGATCATCCAGTGGTGAGTGCTCTGCTCTCATGCATGACAGAAACCCCTCAGTATGTGGTGGGGCTGCTGCTGAGTTTTTGTCTTTGCACACAACACTTGCAAGTGCCGAGGTGAAACTTCACACCCGTCTGGGATTCTGCTGGGATTTTGGCTGAGATTTTAATAATGCACAAATCCAGAAAATTGTGTTCCTCCTTAAGAGTGGAAGTGTCTCACCAAATAGAGCTTTTCAAAGTGCAGAAGAATCGTGGCCATTGGGTGTGGCTTTGTGGCTGTGGAAGAATGCTGAAAGGAATCATGTGCTGAGCTCACTCCTCCAAGAGGGAAGAAGCCTGGGAAAAGTAGTGGCTGAGTATTTGCGTCTCAGCATTAATTTCCTTCATCTGCTTGGCATGTGGCAGAATGAAACAAATACAGTGCAACTTTTATGTGATTTTTTTCACAAGGAGAGTATTTGAGACTACCACAAAGCCAGTCAAGTGATGTTTGTTATGGTATTTTTGCTAAATAATGATGTTATCTTTCTGGAGTCTTCTGTCCAATTCTAGTAAATTAAAGAGAAGAAAAAAGATTGAAACTATTAAGAGAAAAAGATTGTGTATTCTAAGTTTTTCATCTGTCTTTATTTTCCCTCTTCCTGCCTATTTATCTCCCCCCATCTTTAATTATCCCCTGCAGTGTTTCACATCTACAAAACCAGTTAACATTCAGATATTTTATTTTACAGATCATCCACTTCTAGGAAGACTTCATCATGATACATTAATATTTTTCTGTTACTGATTGATTATCCCCTCCCCGTTTTTCAGTTTCATGTTAGTGAAAAAATCTAATTTGTTGTGTCCAGGCAAAAATGGGAAACACTGTTTTAGAGGAACCTAGTTTGGTATTGTTGTAATGTTAGTTCAATTTTGTTGTCTGATAGAGAGAAGTTCAGCTTTTGAATAATGCCATGTGAATACATAACAAGGCAGAAGGGCCATGCTCTGGGTTTCCAGTGTGTTTTAAACAATGTTTGTTGCATAAAAGTATGTAATGCTGATCTGTCTTAAGAAGTCAAATTTGTCTCAAGGCATTGTATTTGTAGCAGAAGTTAAAAAATTTAAAGGGTCCGTTTTATGTATGTGTTCCTTTTAAATTTTGTCTCTCATAACAGTGATAGTAGTGGACAACCTGAGTCACAAAAATTAAAAAAAAAAAAATAAAAAATTAACTGGTAATTTAAACAACTTTTAATTTCTGGCCAACTAAATGTTTATTCAGAAAAAAAATCCAGGTAACAGGTGAGACAAGTCTATAATTTCACATTCCTCATTGCTTTAAGGTAGTGCTTATCTGTCATATTGCACCAGGGTAATCAAACACAATATTTCAGATTAATGTGTGAAAGCACTCATGGAACTGGGCAGTTAAAGGAAAAGACAAATTAGAATTAACTGTGGATTGTTCCACGTAACACAATGTAAAAATGTGCCAACAGCCATTAAAAATGTACCTTCTCCTTTACTTTATGAGAGTGTTTAATATTTTAAGATGTATTACTGATGGTTCAGGCAAATAATAAAGCTTTTTTCATGTTAGGGATGTCACCTGTAAAGGGTAAAAGCGTTTGGGCTTGAGTTTTTTGTTATCTCTGAAGATACTTAGTGAAAAAAGATCAGGAGCATGCAAGACGTGACTTTCTGAATGACAGGCATCATTTTACTGATCCCTTATGGTAGTATAGTGTCTTCTAAATAATAGAGAACTAAAAATTAAAGAATTATGTGAAAAGGAATATATAGCAGTACTGAGGCAAAAATATTAAGGAAATTTTAAAAGTCTGGCTTCGTTCCAGTTTTTCATCACTAAACACATCTCAATTTTCCCTCCATACTTTTCTCTGCTTATGTTAAATTTTTTTTCAGCTATGTGAGCCCTTATCATAGTTCACATTTTTTCCTTGTAATGTTTAGATTTTTCCATGTGTTTTACCCAGATAATCTGGTCATGTCCGTCTGCTGTTCTTAGAGTTCAGCACTGCATACTGAAACTAGGCCCTTCTCTTCATGGGTGCTATATGAAGTATTTAAGCATCTATTACAATGATAAATATTTTAAAAGAAAAAAACCTCACACCTAAGATTGGAGAAAACTAGTTTTATTTAATCAGTCACAAGCCTGTGTTTTCCTCAGAAGAACATGCTGTTCTGTACATGTCCACATCTTCAGTGTGACAGTGGAATGCCTTGGAGCTAGCAAAGAGGGGGAGAATTTGTGGGGTCCCTCTTCAAAACTGAACAGATTTCTCACACAATATTACATTAAAACATGTATTTTGGGTGCATTATTTCCACCTCCTAAAAACTGCCATGTTCTTTTTGTACTGTGATCCAGGAAGGATAGGAGGCAGTAGATGTAAAATTTACTCAGTGTCCTGTAGTAGTTCAAGGGACTTGTTTTAGCCCTGTTTGGAGTAACACAAGCCCAAGAAGTCACTAAATTCTTTTAAGTGGTTTGCCGTCTAAAGCATACCTCTAAAGAAATTGCTTTGAAATTCACACTTTGGATGGTTAAGATTTGTCACTTTCTTCATGATTCTTGGGGCCCTTCTAAATTGCTCTTTCTCTCCGAGTTTGTAACTTGTGAGTAATTTTAATGGCTTATCACATTCCCTTTAGCCTTTCCCTGCTTTCTTACTCTGCTTTATTGCATTTTTAGGGATAATTTATGAAAACCTTTTAAACTTGCTGTTGTTATCTCAAGGTACCATAAACAAGGCAATATTTTAATATAAACACTTGTATCAAACTTTCACTGCAAATTCTATTGTGGACTCAACAGACCCTCACGGATCATTCAGCCTTAATGGAGCTATTATATTGACGAGTTTATATTAGCCAAATCACTCATCATTCCTTGACAAGAGTAAGAAATATTGAGGCTTTTATAGTCAGCTATAAATTTTCCTATGGGAGATGGGAAAGAGATTAATTGCACTGGAGGTTAATGCAGTCACTTGAAAAAGGAGTATTTTAAATAGCTGTGGTACCTTATTTCTGTGCTGTGCAGAAAGGAGGTTGCAGGAAATCTTGGTAGTAATTCCCAGCATACTTGGAAAGAATCTTGACTTGAAAGGGATTAATCTAACCTAGTTGTAGAGGTCCTAAGGTAGACAACTCAATAAATCCCGTGACTAGTACTCCAGAATTCTGTTTTCCTCACCACAGTTTGAAAAGGAAGCCTACACAGCTCATATCAGATGGCTAATTCTGTGTTGTTGAGTGTGTTTACATGGATGAGCTGAATCCTGCCTGTTTTACCCATAGACTGGATGTTAGGCTTAGATTCAGCTGCCCAGAAGCTGTCACAGTTGTTTACCACTATATTTAGTTAATATTTTCCTTATCAGCCATGTTTTTTTTGTACTATTGTTGGTTTTATCTTAATTGATTTCATTGAAAAAAAAACCAACACAAAGCCACCACCAAAAGAAAAAAAAAACAGTACTAACTACCCCCTCTCAACACTTCTAAACGAAATCAAACCTAAAAAATCCCCAAAATTACGGTAGGAGGCTTTTTGATACTTTTAAAATCTGTTTGCTCTCAGAAAATACATAAAAGCACACACAAGTTGTGAACAAAATATAGCAAAAATTCTATGCATATTCAACTCTTAAGAAACCCAAAACATGTAAAATTCTGAGATGTGCTGTGTTTGAGGTAAGAATAGTCAGAAGTTAATTATCTCTAAAATAGAAATTCTGGAGGGCAGGGTGAAATTTCAGGGCTTGGGAGCAAAGGGAAGTCTTAAAACGTTTTAAAAAGGTAGTTTTAAGGAACAGATTTTATTAGAGACACCAGGGGAAAAATTAAAAATGGAGTTGGAGACTTTGAGCATACTGATACGACAGCAGAAATTTAAAAGCATTGAGAGACTAAAAGAGGCTCAGATTTCCTTGGGGTTTTTAAATCAGGTTTAACACAGCTTGGTGTAACACCCCAGGGCTTTAATTAGACCACTTCTGTTGAGCAAAATTCTTTAGTCCTCTGGGTCCATTTTGTATTGTAAAGTATCCCAGTCTGACTTCCTGAGCATCCTGACAAACACCATACAGATAGCAGCTAGTGGTTACATGAAGGTTGTCATGATGTTGGCTCTAACCAAAAAGTTAAATTTAATTTTACAGGAATTTGTACCATATTCCTCTTCTGGCTTCTTTGCATTAAGGAGCTAAGCTTGCAAGGGCAATTTTATGGAAAACAGAACAGTTTATCTAAATTTTCAGTGAAGAAAGAAGTGATGGGGTGGAACCTGAAGAACTTCTCTTCCTTAGGTCTCTTGCTGTGCTTGTCCAGACTCTCTGTCAAAATGAGGACAAGGAGAGCAACATTAGTAAGAGTTAATTTGCCATTCTTGCTATTTTTTTCTTTAATTTTAGTTTTTTAAAGCCAACCAAATGCAACAACCCCAGCAAAACACTAGCAAATTAAAAAGCTCCACATAATTCTTGGGTCCACATAATGTTTAGTGACGTATTTGATTATTGAGAGAATTTTGCCATCTAGTGGACAACAAAACCACCTCAGTTCGACATTGTACTGCTTTAATTTGATGTCTTCCAGAGCTTGAGGAGTTCCCTTGAAATCAGCACAGATATTTGTAAAAATTCACTTTATATTTTCATTTTCTAGATTTCTGCTTGTCTGTGGAACATCTCTCTGAGGTTTTTGCATGTGCAACTTTTCAGCATTTGGAGCTTGAGGGTTCTGTGCACCGTAAACCAAATAACTGAAATGTTTCCTCACCTTCCATCACGAAGGATCTGTGTGGCATCATAAAATTGGACATAGAAATTGGACCCTTTTTTTCTGCAAAGATTTGGCGTGTCATTAAAAATAGAGAAAATTAAATTCTGATTCCTAAAATCTCATTTGCTTCTCATGCATCAGGAAAACTTACTCTTACCTTGAGAGTCTCACATTCTTTTTATTCCTGCTTAAGCTTTTTTCCTTTTTACAATGTGTTTAATTCTTCACTCACTACCTCCAAAAAGCAACTTTAGCTACTTCTGGCATCTTTTGCCCTCTGTTACAGCCTAAGTGGTTTGTGTAGGCTCAGATTATCTGAGATTATCAAAATGTGTCATCCAGAATGTTATGGGAAAATAAGTTGGTTTGCTGCTTCCATCGAGTTTTGCATATACTGTGGGAAAAACAATGACTCATTAATAGAAAAACTCTCACTGACTTGAATAGCCAGGTCATGTAGGGTTTTCCTAGATTCCTCCCCACTTCTTGAACTAAATTATAAGCAGGAGACAAAGAAGAGAAAGCCCAATAAATGCTTGCATTTTCATGTTGGGTGTGAGATTTGTGGAAAATAGTTGCTAATTTTACTTTTGGCTCCTCTGTATTACAGTAGTCTGTCTTCCTTAAATAAATCTGAAACTGCACACCCAAAAGTCACCACAACCTGTGGATATTTAGCCCGTGACCTTCACGGTGTGATCTTGCCCTAAGGCCACTGTGGGAAAGCTCTTCAGTTGCCCCTTGCCCATGGGAATTCAGAGTATGTGCTCCCTGTCTTCCTTGCCTCCTGGCAACTATCTGTAAATCTGCCTTGGAACTTTTCTAATTAATGGGAAACTTGCAAGCAGCACCATTTCCATGTTCTGTGTGTGTATGAACCCTGGTAGCATCAACCAGAAAAACTTACATTGCCTTATAGGCACAAAGGGGGAAACACTTCCTGCTTGGAACGTCACTGCAAGACAAAATCAACCCTCTGGAGAAATCCCAACAGATTTAGGATTAGAGTTACTTTCAAAGATCAGGAAGCAAGGATAAGTTAATTCTCATTAAATAGAAAAGCTATTTCCCCACTTTCCTATATTTCATTTAAAGCTATTTGAGGTTCAGTACTTTGAGCAGAGTCTAAACATTTCAGTGTTTGGTGTTGGTAAGACTTAGCTGTGATCAAGCTGTGCTATTACCTGTTGGTCTCTGAGGCAGCTCAGGGACTTGCATAAGGCTTGGTGTTGCAAACTGGGGTTGCTCTTCTGTGGGCAAAGTGAATATGTTTAGAGCCAGGCATGTAAGGAAATGAGGTGAGAGGGATGGTGTTGGGGTTTTTTTCTGTTTGTTTGTTTGTTTTAGGTTTTTCATAAGTTGCTTAGTTTCAGTGAGTTAATTTTTTTAGCAGCTTTCTTTTCTATGTTAACACCTGAGGCAAAGTGAAGAAAGAACCTGTTGTGATTAATCACAGAAAGTTGTTTTCTTTCTTTGTAACTGATGATCAAAGAATCTGAAAAACAGACATGTCTCCTTGTTGTCTTTACCTTCAGAAAACATGTCTGGATAGAAAACAAGCTCAGTGGATGAGACAGCTCTTCTGGCTTACACTGTTTAATAACTTTAGAAGTAGACTCTCCCTGTTTAATTAGCACTTCTTGAAGTAACAGCACTGTTTAACTACTAGTTCTCATAGTCAGTTAGTACAGTTAAATTAACCACCACTTCCAATATTATCTGGACAATTGAATTGTTAATTATTGGTTGTGAATTTTGTCTTAATTTACTCCCTAAAAATAGGTTCAAAGATTTCTTTCTCATAGTCTCACCTTCAGGTAGCTGATAGGTAATTCTTGAATTTTCGTTTTTTTTCTTAGTGATGCATATTGTTTAATGGAATTCCACAAAGCAGCAAAGAATTAGTTCTGTGTGGTTTTCTTTTTTGGGTTGTTGTTGTTGTTGTTTTTATACAACATATAATATTACATTTTATGGCTCTTTTTGTATTCTGTTTTTAGCTGTTCCTGGCTGTTGACTTACTGAAGGGACTTCTGTTTTTTCCTAAGATTCTTTGGTTAAAGCACCTTATTTTTTTTCTTATGTAATCATTTAGGGTAAGCGATGAAAAAGATGCTCGAGGTTATCTTCAGGCCTTGGCCTCTAAAATGACAGAAGAGCTGGAAGCCCTAAGGAACTCCAGTTTGGGTGCAAGAGCTACAGTAAGACTTTACTTCCATATGTTAGAAGGTTTTTTTTTGTTTGAAAAAAACACTAATTAGACAGTTTCAGCTGCAGCAATTATCTATCTGTAGAGTCTATGTTAACTAAAAGTTAAACTGAAAGTTAGATTTTCCTTGAGCTTCTGAATAACTGAATACCAAACTTACTGTTTATCAATTAATTAAACACCAGTATCTTTATAATGTGATTTCATCTGCATTACAGTTGAAGTAGCTACTTTATAATCATATATTAATTTGTTGAAGGAAATCATGCTTTTGTTCATGAAAACCTTCAAATCTTTCACTTGTGAAGTGTGGATGTCCTTCATAGCTGTCATCTGAATTGAGGCATATCAAAACCAGATTTCACAAAATCTCTTTGCTTTTGAGATCAGCATATAACATAAAATTTGTTACTTGAGTTCAGAAATACTACTACTAACACTAATCTTAATTTTAGATTATTTTGGAATTAATGACCTCTTAACATTAAGGACACAATAGACTGAGAAATGCAGTTGTTGAAGTTAGTTGCATTCCTCGTGTTCAGCTTCCTTTCCTCTTTCTACTCCCTTTTTTGATTCTTTCCTAGGACATGCCCTGGAAGATGAGACGCTTTGCAAAGCTGGATATGTCTGCAAGGCTGGAGCTCCAGTCTGCTCTTGATGCTGAGATCCGAGCCAAACAGGCTATTCAGGATGAGCTGAACAAAGTCAAAGCTTCCTGTATCTCTACAGAGTGGTAAGACTGAATTGTTCTGATGCAAATTTACTTTTGATACCTCCCAGGAAATGTCATCAAATACCTTATCTGTGGAAATTTGATCATGAATGACATGCCAGTTTCATACACCCAGATTAAAAAAAAACCCAACATCTCCCCATTGTTTGAATAGCTGAACACTTACTGGGGAAAGTTGAAGTCTTGAAGACTTTTGGAGGGAACACATTCTCTTTTATGATATGATCCGTCCTAGTTGTGATAACAAATCCAAATCCACAGTTTGGGTTTGTGTCTTAGAATATATTCTTTTCCATTCTGCTGATAGCTGCACTGGGTTAGCTTACTAAAATCAACTTTTGCATATTGATTTACACAGTAAGAAGTAATAATGGTTAATGGACTATTATGAATTCTTATATTCCTTCCTCAGACCTCTCTCTTTCTCACTTCGACCTCACCACCCCCAGAATAGAATTTATTCTGAGTTGCATGAATGCCTGAAACAGGGGTTGGTAGGAAGTCATTCCATTTTTAGGTGTCCAGCTTCAGCTCAGAGCACTGGTTTGTTTTGCAGCTTTTTAGGAAAGCAGTAAGACAGAGTTGAGCTTCAAGTATGTTACCTGTAAAATGGGAACGTCTGGTTCACCTACCTTGAATGTTTTTCTGGCCAGTTAATGTGATGGCAGGCAGCATTGGAAATCCTGTAGGAACAGGAGAACCAGTGTTTGCTTTGATAGGCAAGAATGAGAAATGTGCTCAAATTGCAGAGTAGTGTTACCTCTCAGCTGTGAGTCAGAAAGCACTGAAACAACTAACTGTAAAGAAACTGAGAAAAAACCAGTTCAACTGAATCTATTAATATCACTGGTACTTAATTAACAAATAAATTTTAATGGAAAACATTACACTTTATTACATAAAAATATATACTCTTTTTTCTCATTCACAGGATACAAGCTCACGCAATTACTTAGAAATTAGAAACATGAAAACCATAAACCTATTTAATAGATAAATGGCTTTTTTCCTGTAAACTAAACAGGTCCCAGTGGATTTATTCTGGTATTTGAAGACATCAGGAACAAGAGTGACTTGTATCTTGGGTTCTCAATACTTACATACATTTTTTTCTGTTCTTTTGAAGTAAATTGCAAGAATCTGAGAAGAAGAATATGGAGCTTTTGGCAGACATCGAAAGGCTGAAAAAGGAGACAGAAGAGCTTAGATCAGAAAAGGGTATGGCAACTGATATCCAAGTAAATAGTGTGTCACATTGGTGGGTGCATGTTATCAGTCAAGTGTCACCTTGAAACTAAAATATGATACCAACATGTGAGCACAACACTTGTATGCCAAGATGTACCCACAGTAGTTGAATTTCCACTTCTAATACTTGTAATACACCTCAGTTTTGTTGGTACCTTTGAACCAGTAAGGTATTATTTGAGTTGAGGCTGCTTTGTTTTTATTTGGCCTCTGTTTGGTGATTTACTGCCAGAAGACTGTTAGAATGTAGATATACTTCTAACCTTTTCTCCTTTATGATGGATGAAGGTATTTAGACATCAATACTGATCATACTGTTGTTCATCTCTGAGAGTTTTGGAACTGTCTATACAGAGAGTAAACAACTGCAGAGGAATTCATAGCATTTGTTTGTTTCTGGGAGAACTTCATTGTTAGGCTTTGCAGCCACATAGTGAGCAGTGTGGTCATGAGTGCTTTGCTCTGCTATTAAGAGTATGTTCTGGGATTACTCTTGCATCTGTCTAACACTATTATGCATTGTTGCTGGGAGAAGAGACTTTTTTGGTAATTCTGCAATGAAAAAATTCGTTAAGAGTTGATTAATGATCTGGCTGATTCTTTGCAGTTTTTGTAGTAGCTCTAATGTTTGTATCTTATGAGTCACATGGGAAGAAGTATTTTTCAGGCCAAATGGAATTACCTAATTTTCTGTAGGGATCTATATGAACTACAGAATTTAAACACCCTGGCAACAATTGCTGCATTGGGATGTCAAATACTGTTCAGCTTTTCCAATTTAATGCTGGTCAGTCAATAAAGTATTATAGTTTACATTCATCTCCTCTATATAGGCCTCCCAGAGCTGATTGACTGGTAAAATAATTCAAACCTATACAGAACATTAAAAAATGGTGCCAATTAGTAAATAAGACTTAGGGAATTGATACTCCCTCATCTTGATGCTTAGCACTGATACCAGGATTATGCTTCCTCCAAGTACTTGGAGAGAAACTCTTGACAGCATCTCCCTGGAGACAAAAATACTTTTGTTGTATTTAGCTTTCATTTATATGTTCTTGAACTTCCTTAAATATTATGCATGATTACTTGACTTCTGAAATCTTCCTTTTTGTTAAATAATGTTATGAATTTATGATTCATATTTTACCCTATTTTTTTACAGTGTTTAAAACCTTATTGTTTTGGTGAAATAAACATTTACTCTTTGCTGAAAACAAGCAAGCAAAAAACAAAAACCAAAAAAAGTTCAAGGAAACATTAGTCATGTTTCTTAATGTAATTATATTAGTAATATTCTACTGCAATTACTCAAATAGTCTGATAGAAATACACCTTAATCTAAATCGTTGCCATCTTTGATTTGATTTTCTCATAAAAGAAGAAATATGTTGCTGTTTGAATTATGAACTGTATAGAAGATTCAAATGCAGTCAAGGTACAGTGATAGAATAACTTGCAGTGTGTGGAAATTGATTTCTAGGAAGGGATTGTTTGGCTTAGCACCTAATCCTTTCCTGTTTATAAATATTTTCCAGAAATTTAGACAGGTGGGGAAAAAAGTGCTGAGAGTATTCCATAAAGTTGTCGGTAATTTGAAAACTAGTTTTAGTACTTTACTGTGATTTCAGTGTATTTATATTTTAAAGAGGAAGGAGTTCTTTGTAAGTTTATTCACTGGGTCATATTTAGAAAATGATATGGATAATTAGAGCAAGACACTAACATTTTTAAAAGGAAATAGGTGACTTCTGATGGCATCATTGTTTTGAGATGCACACAGTCCTGCAGGCTCTGGTCATAATAAATATGTGTATGTATGTGCATATAATGCATTTATAGCATTGAGAAGAATAACATTTGTACATATCTGTGAAGTATAACTGCCCACACAGGAGCTTGAATTAGACAAGAAGAAGAAATAAAAAAGTACCAGTTGGAGCAAGTTAAAGTAAGAGCTGAGGTGTGCCAGCCTCTGCAGCTCCAGAGGAAGCAGTGTTCCCACTGGGCATCACTTAGATGGAGTGGTGTGACAGAAACATCTGGAGCTTCACCCAGCATTCTGTTACTGCTGGGCACTCAGCAGGGAGAGGTGACAGGCACAGAGCATGGCTCAAGGAGCTCATCTTGTTTGGAAGTGCCGTGTTTTTGTTGGTTCCAGCTGTCCTGCCACGGTGGGACATGCCAGATGTCACCAGAGCAGGTGTGACACCTGCTGAATGAGTGTGTGGTGCAAGTGCACCTTAGAAACCAGTGTCCTCTGCAGAACAGACACAGACAAGAGCGTGTTTCCCCATGGAACTCACACCACACACTTTAATCAGCACTTGCTTGTCCTTTAAAAAATCATTTACTCTGGAAAATAAACCAAATGTGCAACTTATTTCAAAACATGTAGGTGTTTCAGGTGGACACTCAAAACTCTTGATTCAGCAAGGCAAAGGTCCTCCATGAGAAGGTCATTTTTTCTGTAGCTTAAAAACCTGCTGCTGTTTTCTAGGTGTAAAGCACCAAGACTCACAGAATTCTTTCTTGGCATTTTTGAATGCGCCTACCTCTGCTCTGGATCAATTTGAAGTAAGTGCACAGCTATTCTAACTCTGTTAGTCAGTGGAACTGCTGTTGGGTGCAGGTTCTGTGCATATCTGCTGAGAGTTTGCTCCTGTATTTTAATTGTATTGCAATAATAATATTTGTGCATAATAACACCTGAGAATTGTTTATTATTTACAGTGCTGGCTGTCTTCTCTTGAATACTTGTAATCACAGTGAATTCTCTCTCAGACCTTGAATGCAGAAATTTGCCTGATTTTGCAACGAGCATGAAAAGCGTAGTTGTTCAAATGGCTTTTCTTTGTATTCAGAAAAATGCTAAGTAATGTTGGTAGTGGTTTGGTAAAAACAGGAAAATACTAAATCAGCCTTGATTGTATCCCATAAAGTCATTGGTAGAGTTTATTAGGTTTTTTCATCATCTGTTCATTTTACACAGATCTGTAAAATCCAGATAATTGCTATTTATCTCCTCTTCACAGATCCTTTTATTTAAAAAATTAATCTCTTTAATACCTTTGTCACTTCTAGACAAAAGGCCAGATTAGGTAGAAAGCCTGGCAGGAAAACAATTGAAACAATACTATAAATTTATTATCTTCTTTTCCAATCAACAGTAATCAAAGTATCATCTTTCTTTTAAAAGAACAACTGAGATGAAATATTGATGAAACTGAATTCAGAGGATACAAGGCACCACCTTTACAGTTAGACATTAATCTAAAGTTTGCCCATTTTTTCCTGATGCAAATACAGTTTAACTATGAAAGAGCATAATCCCTGCTGTGACTGATGTCCCAAAATTGTCTTTCTTTTCATTATGTATTCACTTATTCATTGTTCTCTCTTGAAGTCCTCATAATTAACATAGTTTTAAAATTTCCTTTGTAATAGTTTATCTTACAAATTACTTTCAGTATAAGAATCCTGTTGAGAGTATAGCAATAATACTTTATTGAGTAAGTGCTGGAAAAACACTGGTTTCTTTACAGATAGAACATTAATTAATTGTCTATGAAAGACAATTAATGAAAACTTACTGAGGTAACTATTACTGCCACTGGTTATTTACAGTTCTTTATTTTTGCACTTTTATTTATATTGAACAGTTTTCTTCATCCTTTTCTTTCTCTCTCTCTCTTTTTTTTTACTGCTGTTTTCATTAAAATAGGATTCCTTTTCCTCCTCTTCATCCTCATTGATTGATTTTATGGATGACGTAAGTCTGACTTCCAACCCAGTAAATCCCTCAATAACAGATCAGTTGATTGATTTGGAATATTCAAACATTAATGCAGTCAACTTAAAATATCTGCAAGTGCAGTGGAGAACTAAGTATTTCTGTAATAGTGTTCTCACACCTATTCATATAGATAGGTGTTTTGTTTTGAAAGAAATGCTTTTCTTTAGATGCAGGTGAAGAATTCTTAATTGCAAACAGTTTTTCTGATGGGGAAAAGCTGCTTTTAGGCCTTATCTATTGATATGGCCTGTGAAAAACAGTTCCAAAGTCATCAGCACATTTATATATTTAATTCTTTTACTTCATCTTGTTCCTTTATCACAAGTTGTTTTTATACGTTTTGTAATCACTTCTCTTAAAATGTTTCCCTTGCATACAGTTAATTTCTGTTTGCTCAAATAAAATATTTTCTCTTTTTAAGCCTGCATTGTGAGAAGTCATTTTCATTATAATTGAAGTGAACTTACTACTTTTTATTGCCATTTGAGATGCAGGTTTTCTGTCAGGACGTCATTTAAATATTCCCACTATTAATTGCACACTAAGGGAATTGAGTTAAAAGCTGAAAATTGACTGCATTATATTTCTTCCAAACTGAAGTAGTATGCCCATAAAAGTAATTATTAATAAAATTTTGGAAATCCAGGAATATAGAGCCCCATCCATTACAGCTCTCTAGGAATAATTGTGTGTGTATGTGTCTGTCTGTGCTCGTAGATATGTTTATACATATTATACATACATACATTCACACATATTTATACATATGTGTTTAACACAATGTAATCCTATTGGCATTGAAATTAGATAAAATTATTATTGTTTGAGAAATGTCTGCTGTGAATGGTGTAGCAAAGAGGATGAGGTATATGGCCCTTTTCTGCTGCTTTCATTTCCTTTTACATACTCTGAAAAAATGCTTCTCTTCTGGATGGTTTTTCTCTGTAAATCAGGTTTATACCCCAGAAAAAATGTGTAGGTTCATTGTGGTGTCACAGTAGAAGGCATTTACCTGCTTTTTTGTATAGCATACAGAAAGCTTCTGGCTTGCTGATGCTATTGGAATTTTCTTACACACACACTCATATACACAACACACACAGCCACACAAAAAGAAAAAAGGGACACAAAAAAGTACAGTTTCCTGCCATGTAAATCCAAACACAACGAATAATATTTATATTATTTATCTGGATTAAAGAAAACATGTTCTATGTTACCTGAGTTTAGTAACACTTCATTTGTATCAGCAGGTTATTTAACAGAAATTTATCTTTAAAAATATCTAAAACACTGCCCTAAAACCTGTTAAAAAATAAATAAAGGACATATGTGGCAGTTGCTGATTATGTTCTATTTTGCAAGGAGAAGCTTGGGACATGGATATTTTCCTGGCTGCTGTCTAGTAAATTTTGAAGGACTTCAGTGCTTTACTCTGTATTTATTGTTGCTTGTTTTTTGGGGTTTTGGGTTTTGGGGTTTTTTTAAGAACGCAGCATTTTTTTCCACGAGCATTTTGACAATTTTTTATTTTTTTTTTCCTTCATGCAAGTGAGTAATTTTCAACTGCTGGCATACATCCTTAAATAGCAATTCTTCTTGATTGGTTCACCCAGATCAGATATTGGAACATACCCTTTTAGTCTTGGGTAAAGTTTCAGGTATTAATATTTCTATTGTTGTATGTAGTCAGCTTCCTGCACATGGATTCCAACTTCCCCTGTTCCATCTTCAATTTGAGTCCAACAGGAGTGGGTTTTTCTCGGTTGCACTGGGCAAAAGTGTATCTCTGGACTGGCCAGGGACTCATGTCTCTAATGCCAAGGCAAAATTCTCCCTCATCTGGAAAAACTGCAGAAAAAGAAGAGTTGAGTGCTCAAAGATGAGAAGAGCACCTTGCAGAGAAATAGAAGACATTCTGTCTTTGTTCAAAAGAGAGATAAAGCTGTTACCTGTGTTAGTAGATGAAAAGTAATATCATTCAGTTGTGCTGTGACAGTCAGTTCTGCATCTTTGATATATTGGACAATCACTTTATTCATTCATAGCGTAATTTATAGTCTGAATTATCTAAATGAACGGTTATTTATGATTTAGCTCATTGAGTTGGTTTAGTATCAATATATTAGATGGACTTAAATCAAAATAAGGGTATTAAAACTCCCTGCCCATTGGACGTGACCTCCATTCCCTTCCCAATGACTCTTTTTGGCAGAGGTTACCTTGAAGGGCAGCATTTCTTGTAGGATGTCCAGAAAAATTAACTTCTCAGTCAAACCTGAGAAATGTGAGGGTTCATTGAGTTCTTTGTATTAAGACCAAGAAAGAATTAGATGTCTTCAGGTCAGGCTCATGCAGTGCTGCAATATTGCATGGGGTTCAGGAAAGCCTCTATTGTAATCAAGAACCCCAAGTAAATATTTCTATTGGCCTGAATTGATTCTTCAGACTGTGCTTCATTAAGGAGGTACAGAGAACATGTAAAATAATGTGTAGATGCAGTTGCAAAGCGTTCCTTGCAGGATCTCTGAAGTCTGTTTAGCATGCAGATGTGCACACAGCAGGTTTCCTAGGGTGGGTATGTCTTGTGTGTCTGCCATCCAAGTAACAGGACTATTTATAGCACTCTCTGAATGACTGGAGTTAATTCTAATTTTTCCAATGAGGAAAGCAGTAGTTTTGCAATTTCTGCTGAAGAGAAATAAAAATAGATGTCCTGCTGCCTCTATAGCCTGCAGATGCTGAGGAGAAAGTGGTAGCTCACTACTCAGAGGAGTAGTACTCGCTGTTGGTTCCTGCCTTGAAAAGATGCTGGGTCAGGTTGGCAGAACTGATGCTTAAATTCTCATAGCTGTGACAGCCCACACATTCAGAAACAATCCCTGTGTGTCCTCTGCACACAGGGGAGTAGGAGTGTTTGCAGTCCCTGAATTCCAGTCTTGGTGAGGAGGGAAGTCACCCCCAGTGACTCAAAGAGACTAAGCCCTTGCTGCTGTTTCTCCTGTGTGTTGCAGGCTGTCTCAGTAACACTGTCTAGGTGTTAAGTCTCCTGTGTTCACTGGAAGTGTCTGACAATGGAAGTGTTGGGTTTTGTTTTTATGCCAGGTGGATCTTTGTGTGTCTCACTAACTGTGAGAAGCCATCAACTCGTTTTATTTAAGGATGAACTTGTGATTATTTCATAACAATAAAATGGAATCCCATTTTCCCTTGACGAAATTATTTTTCCCAAACACTCAAAAATACTATTTTTTGCTCTGTTGCTAACACATTAGAAATTAGAAATAGATTTCTTAAGTCCTCCTGCAGTCTGTCTTCACATACAGCCCCATGGGCTTTGGCTAGACTAAACAAATCTGAGCTCTGTAAGTAGCCACAGAATAAATTGTGTTCTGAATTCTTTTTATTGAATAGAATAAGTCATAGTAGTGTGTGGTGAGAGCCTTGACTTTACCTGCACATTCATAATTAAGTTAAGTAAATCTGGTTCATAATGATACTTTAAATTGGACATGTTGTGCTCCAATAGATGACTTCATTCATCTTGTTCAAAGCACAGAGATGCCAACTGCAAATTAGTGGTGCTGTGTAGTCTGCAGTTTTTCTGCTATTGTCCAGTGTAAGACTATGGACTTGGAATAGCTTTTCCTTTTTTTTAATGTTTCTTTCTTCTTGTTGGCCCAGAATAGATTGTTTTTAAAATACTTGTTACAATGCACATGTTTGTGTGTGTCTAAACACTCCCTCTGTAGATAAAGTGAGGAATTCTGAGGTGATGTATGTGTCACTGTTTGGTTTTGTAACATATTCTCCTCCTTTCTTTGTTAAAGCGCTCTCCTTCCTGTATTCCAGCTAACAAAGGCAGACGTGTAAGAGGCTGTCTTACTCTATGTGGCCCTTTATTTTTTGCCTGTTGTGTCCATGCCTATGTTTAATGTATGGATTGTGTATTTACCTCACTGCATGTCTTGTGCTGCTGCTGCTGCTGTTTGCTGCTGCTGCTGCTGTGCTTTTTGTTGTTTTACAGCCGTGGGCTCAAAGCTTTTGGACTATTTCATTTGGCAATCCTATGAGCAGAATATCACAATAACTGGAGAAGATTTTTTGGGTGCTTTCTCGTTTCAATGAATCCTATGAGCAGAATATCTCTGAAACTGGAGAAGATACTTTGGGTACTTTCTCATTTTAATGTGAAAACTCTACATGGAAGCTGATCAGGCAGATACAGGTTGGGAAGATGAGCAAATATCAAATGAAGGCCTGTTTATTTCATTGCCCTTAGCAGAGGGCGTGTGTTAAGTCATGGGAATTACCCATAGAAGGTCAAAGTTTGGCATTTGGGAGGCACATCACAGAAAATGATAGAAAATATCACAGTGCAAAGATAAATAAGTTTGAAGTGAGGAATTGAGTAAATGGAGCATCAAGGAGGATAGGAAAAAAGCATACAAAGAAAACAGAGATGGTTGTGTTGTAGCTGGTTAAGCTGGAAAAGTCTATGGTTTTTCAAAAATCAAGGTGGGTTTTTAAACATGTGTTTCATGTTTGTTATCAAAGCAGACTCGGTGAGGATGAATTCCTACCAGTTACGCTATTTCCATTTTAATCTTACACTGCCACTTTTGTTTCTTTTATACCGGTATGATGGAAGGGATAAGTAAGCTTGCAAACATTTCTGTTCAATGTTCAATAAACAAGCAGTAATGCCCAACAGCTCTAATGATGTCCTTACCCATGCAGTTCAAAGCACACTGCTGAGTCTGTCAGGCAATCTTACAGTAACTGGTTGTTTTTGTTGGTGGTGCCTCCAGTTCAGAAGTTCTCTCTGTTCCAGATGTGTTTGTACACAAGCCAGCTTTGGCTCAGACCTGCACAGTCCTGTGGAAGACAGCAAAGCTGTTCCAGTTTGGTAGGAAATAGTGAAATCTGCTTAGGGTAATGCAGTGGATTGGTTTAAAACCAGTTTGAAAGGTGCTAACATGGCCTTCATAAACTGTTGACCATAGTTGAGTCAGGTTGCTTTTGTACTTAGTTCTTCTCATTAAAGCCAGGAACTCCAGATCACTGCAGCAATACAGCTTAAGGCCCTTGTTTCTGCACTGAAGGTGGTGATTAAATTCCCTTCTGCAATGGTGGATCAGGTTCTGTGTGTTTTATGGGCTTTTTATGTTTGTAAGTAAAGTGAAAATGCATTTTGCTACTGTTTGAGTAGTTGTCTTCAACCACAAAGGCTTTGTAGCACATTCCAGAAAGGTTCCATCACTGATATCAGGCTCGTACTACATTTTTTCGTAGGCACCATGAAAATTCTTTGGTATGCAGATGCTGTTTTGAAAGGGAAAGCCCTTGGAGTGTCTGGAAGCATTTATGAAATGATAGATTAGATCTCTGGGTTTAACTTGGAGGAGAAAAGTAGTGTCTGTTTCTTGCTAGGAAAAAATTTGCCTGTAGTTACTCACTGGGCTTATTTTTTAGTAACATTTTTAAGGAGGAGCTGGAATTGTTGAAGGTTAAACAGTCTTTGTGTGAACTCCAAGTTATCACATGTTTAGACTGGATTAAAAAGAAGTTTAAAATAATTGAAACATGTTGCATTTGAGGATTTGCTACTTAAGACATCAATGTTTCTAATACTGGGTAAAGCTTTCAATTATTATTTTCTTCTGATAAATCTGAGCACAAAATGTTTGCTTTACTGCTACTTTTTGCCTCAATGCTTGAAACACATGATCTATGTGTAGTAAACAGGTGTATGCCAGTGTGAGAATTTCCCATTTTCATTTCAGAAATGTTTGCAGGCATGGTAAAATGCCTAAGTTGATTAAACTGATGAGCATTCTCCACCAGATAATTTTTTGGAAGGGTATGGTAAAACTGAAAGCCATCAAAATTAACTCCCTATTTAAAAAACATATATATATATATATATACATAAAAATATATGCATATACAGATATATATATATATATATATATATATATATATATATATATATAAAACTAGCAACTGCACCTGTTCGCTACCGTGACTGAGCTCCTGAAGAACAGGACTGTATGTGCATGTGTAAAATTGGCTTGACAATATAATTGATTCCCAAAAAACAGTAAAGTTTGTGGAATTCTTAGTATTGTCAGTGGCAAATTAGATGAGAAACACTGGAATGTTCAAATGCTTTCTGTAAACATGGCTGCATATTTTAGTTTGTCTGCAAGCTAGGCAAATCCTTGGCAGTGGAGGACTGATGATAGCATTGCTCCAGAAAATAGAGGCATGCCATGGAGCCTTCTGCAGGCCTGAAGCTTTTACTTTTATTAGTAGTAAGAGAAAGCATTTTCCTTTTTTCTTTTTTTTTTTTTTTTCCCCTAATATAATTTTACATAGAAATCTTTCTGGAGCATTCTTGTTTTCAAGGAAGAATCCTACCTTCTCTGATTTTTTCAACCTTACTAACAAAAGATGACTTGTTACCCAAGATACCTGTTTGTACCTATGTGCCTTGTTCAGTGTAGCTCTGTGTTGGGCTCAGTTTCATTCTATATATCAAGGACTAGGAAAACATTCCCCAGAAGAAACTGTGTTCCTGGTAAGGATAATTCTTCAAATGGGGTGCAAAACCCCCTCAATTCTCTGTGAATATAATTATCAGGATATACACTGCTCTGCCTTTTCTCCTTGTTTTCTCCTGAATATGTTTGCAGGAATTTACATGGGCTATGTGGAAATCCACTTCCAACAAATCCCTGCCATCAGTGGACAAAACCCAGTAGTGTTTAGAAAATACTCACCCTTGAAAAAAAGTGAATTACAAGTGTCTCTGAGTGGTTATCAGGGCCCTGAACTAGAAGCTCTTATGCATGTGCTCACCTCTCAGCGGAAGCCTTGGTGTGTTTACATGCAACAATTTTCATTCCATTTTGTTGCTTTTAGATAGACAGTTGCTTAAGACTGAATTTTTATCCTCTCAGTTCTGTCGTAGGAATTTTACTGCTCCCATATCTTACTTTGGTAAGAGTTGAGAATTCTCTTTTAATGATGTCTTTGATTTATTTCTTTGGTTGTTGTTTTGTTTTTTTTTCTCTCTTGAATTGTTCTCCTAGATTGATTCAGTTGAGAATTTTACATTGTCTAATACTCCATCACGGGATGAGGACAGCAAGTCTCACCTCCATTCAAGATCAAGGTCTCCCTCTACAGCCAGTGAGATTGAACCAATTGAGGTACCTCAGTGTTGAAAGATATTTGTCTTTTTTTGTCTTTTTTTTTTTTTTTTTAGGAGTAACAGTTTCACTTGTATAAAAAATGACTACTGCAAATCTTTTGTTTGGGGTGAAACTCATTCTTCTGCAGCAAGACTGTTTAGGACTTTGTAATAGCTTTCTGCACTAGTAGTGAACTGTGTTTTGGGGAACATTGTATTTCCTTTCACATATGGTTAATTTAATAGGGATGGGAACTATCAATCAATTATTAGTTACAGTCTCTCTTCATAACATACCTTCAGTCATGAATATTTAAGAAATGTTGGCACATAGATAATGTTATAATGTAGTTTATAAAAACACACTTTGAAGCCATGCTGGAAGTCTTGGCATTACAAAATGTTAGCCAGACTCCCCAACTGTAATAATATATTTATATAATAATTTATTCCCTTTCCCTGTTAAAAAAATTAATGTTGTGGTTGTTTTATATTAGAAAATATCCAATCAAATGTTTCAGATAATGTGAACTTGGTTCTGACATTTGGAAAATGAATCTTGCTGAGAAATAAGATATGTTTTTCTGAGTCCTGCGTTAATCAATTAGATTTCATGGCTTGAATGCTGGGGGATGGGGTGAGTGGGACAACATACTCTTCTTCCTTTATCCAGGCTGTCTTTGATAGTGTGTTCTTGATGTCTGATTGATCCTTTGGGTACTCTGTTCAGGTTACAGATCATCCTCCCCGTTCAATTCACACACCGACCATGAGGACAGCATATATTGGCTCGGGACTCTCTGCACCAAAGGTACCCTGTCAAGCATTCACCCTTTTTGTGTAGCAAGGGGAACGTGTCACTCCTGAGCTACAGGAGAACTGATTGTCACACTGATCTTACCAGAACTGCCTAAAAGGGATGTTTATGTGCAAGATGGTTGCTCTCTAAAATTTAAACCCCTTCATTCTTACGTTATAGGGTGACAAGCTGCACTAGGAATTCCACAGGCATTTGATTGTAGGAAAAACAGTGGTTTGGACATTAGAAATGAGCCAGAATGTGAAGAAAGGAAAGTGCTGTCCTAGGTAGAGAGTGTTTCCTGGCATGTGTCTGACCAACATGTCTCTCTACTCTTTGCATACAAGAAAGTCTCAGATTATCATGTCTGCTTGCTAGTTAGATGTTTATTCTTGAGAAAAGGCAAAGAGTAACCCTAAAACTGAAACCACAGATTTGCCTGTTTTTAAGCAGTATAAAGTGAGCAGTACAGAAAAAGATTACCAATTTTTCTGTCATTTGGCTTTTACCTGCATAAATACTGATTTTCTATCAGTTGCTGAACTCATTTAGCTGTTGCCAAATAAACCAGTGTATGCTAATTCAGTGGATTATGCCTATTCAAGCAAATGAAGAATAAATACAAGCTATTAAAGGAAAAAAATTCTTGTGAAAGTTTTGAAAATGACTCAATGGTTTAGGAATCTTCTGTATATTTAAAAATGACAGTTTTTCCTGCAACTAATAATGAAGTAAGTAAGGCTTTCTAATAGATCTGTTTTTCTGCTTTGATAAATTACAAAGTAGCAGAAGACTCATTTGTGTAAAGGAAAGCTAGAAATTTTGAGCAGACAATGTTCTGTTGGCAGCATCTTAGTAGATTAATTTTAAAAAATACTGTAAATGCACTTGGAATCACATGAAACTGACTTTACTATGCATATAATTTCATTTTTGCAAACATTTTGCTGACTTGCTGCCTTGCTTTATAATTTATTATATCCCCTAAAGAACCTTCTTAATTTTTGATTGCATCAGTGTTTAAACCTGGGTATTGTTTCCCAGTAAGTCTCAAAACAGAACATTCTGTAGACTGAAAGCTGCCGTTGTAACAGTAAAGCTGTCATTAAATATGGATAAATTTGAGCCCTTAGCTGTGATATCTTATGCTCTGAAAAGCAGGAAATTGGGTAAAATTTCAACATAGCTACTCTCCAAAGTAGTCTTCAAAATTGTCTTGTTTCAGATCACATACATGATCATGTTTTTTTGGACAGTCTTTGCATTCACCCTATGCCCTGCCTTTTCTCCCCAGTACTTACTTCACTGGGACTTTTTTATAGAAAAGCAAAGCAGCTTCCTGGATTTTATATAAGGCCATCTGTGAATCATCCTGGCACATTACATAGGTATTTAGCCTTTATTTAGCAGTATGAGCACGGCCATCCTTGAGGAGAGGGAGCAAATGAAGCCACTTACTCAGGTACTCTGTGTTCCCAGGGAATAACAGGAAGAGAAACCCTTTCAAAATCAGCTTCATCTATCAACTTCAGCTCTTGCCTTTAGATTGGATGTTCTAAATTGTCTCTGCTAAACACCATAAAAGGAGGTTCTGTCAGGGCTTTCTGGCATAAAATTTCAAGTTTTAAAAAAGTCTGCTATTTTTCTTTTAACTAAGGCAATACTCCTGCAGAGGAGTAGTGAATTTGCAGCTTAGAAAATACTGTTGTGGGTTGACCTGGGCTGACAGTCAGGTGCCCACCAAGCACATGCTTATACACGTTCAACTTCTAAGTGTAACAGAATCACTTTGGCAGTTTTCCTATCTGCAATGAAAGCAAACTCATGTTCTGAGACAGGGTCCTGTTTCCATGGCTTTGTTTACAGAGGATGCTTTAAATTATCAACAATGGGCACTGTGATAAGGAAATTTTTTCAGCTTCTATCTCATTTCAGCAAACATAAACAAGCTCCCTTATAAAATGCACCTATGCACTCTTGTCTGTGAAAGAAAAAAATGTACTTAAGAAGTGTTACAGGTGGTAACATCCTTGTCTGCTCTTTTCACAGCCTAAAGCTCACCAGTTCGTAGTGAAATCGTTTAACACACCAACAAAATGCAATCAGTGCACATCCCTGATGGTTGGTCTGATACGACAGGGCTGTACTTGTGAAGGTAAGCACTTGGGAGAGCAAAACCAAAAGTGAACTGAAGTTCTTACAGATGCAAATGGCATAGGAAATGTAGTGTGGTGATGCAGGAGTCTTCTGCTTGCATTTTGAATAACGGTATAGTCTCATGCTTCAGTCTTTAACAGTAGAAACCAAACACTTTGAACATACATAACAGATTGCCCAGTTTTCTGGGGACACTCTTATTCCAGTTGGTGGTAGAAGAGCTTAATTCAGTTTACTCTAAATAGCAATAAGGGGCCACAGTCAAGTGTATACTCAGCAGCTTTGCTTTATGTTGCAGGGCAAAATTGAAGACATCTATTCTGACTTACTCTAGAAAGAAGCAAAATTGGTACTTAATGGCAGTTATTCTTGTTTGTATGTACACAGAATGACACTTATTATTTAAAGGATGTTCCAGCTTTTTGTTTGCTAGTAGAGTTGGGCCTAGAGGACATCACAGAGATTATCTTAGGCTCTTTTTTATCTGAATGAAACCAGGTGTATCCATAAACTATCTGGAAAAGACAAATTCGAACTTTAGAGCAGATAAAAACATGAACTGCTACTGTGTGCAGACTTTTATTTTATTTAATTCAGTGAGATTATTCAGATGCTGGTCAAAAAAAAAAGGGGGAGATTTCTTTGTAAATCTAACTATCATTATCACAACTTTTACATTGCGCAAGAAATATCCATCAAATCTTTCTGTCTCTTCTCCTCACAAGTGTGTGGATTCTCTTGCCACGTCACCTGTGCAGACAAGGCTCCTGCAGTGTGTCCAATCCCTCCTGAGCAGACTAAGGGACCTTTGGGAATAGATCCACAGAAAGGCATAGGAACAGCTTATGAAGGACATGTCCGAGTAAGTATGAGGTAGCTGCATTTGGGGCACCTCCGTTAAATTCATTGTTTTCCAGGGCTGGTATTACTTTGAATATTGGGGGGATAGATTCAATTCCATCTTAGGGTAGCAGTTTGGAAAATAAGACTTATATTTTCACAAAGCAGCTCTAAGCATTGTCAGCAGTGATCCTCTCTTCATCTCTGTTGGTCAGTGTGTTTAAGTTGGTCTTGAATAGTTCCATCTCTAGAGATCAGATCATCTTTCAGGCCATGTGAGTTTTTGAGTTTTTCTGCTAGTACTGTCTATGGTCACTGGTGTGGATATTTGCACAGAAATATTAAGAGATTTACTCAGCATAGTTTTGGCCATAATTCTAATTCATAATTCATAACTAGAGACGGGTTTCTATCTCTGTATTTGTTAATACAGCTCTAAATGAATTTGTGAAATGAGAAAAAAGAATGTGATGCTAATAATTCATTAAATAATATATTGTTTGTGTGTCTGTGTTTGTTGGTCTTACTGCTCCTGGGCTTTGCTTATGTTGCTTAACATCATCACTGAATTAAGACTTTCCAGCCCAGATAAGCAAACTGATTTTTTGAGCTGCTTGATTTTTTGATTGCATCTAAACTTACAGAGAGTTGATCAGAATTTGTTTTTCTAAAGATCCCAAAGCCGGCTGGAGTAAAGAAAGGTTGGCAGAGAGCGCTGGCAGTGATTTGTGATTTTAAACTCTTCCTGTATGATGTAGCAGAAGGAAAAGCATCTCAGCCCAGCGTGGTAGTGAGTCAGGTCATAGACATGAGGTAAGCTGTTTGCTGCTCGTGGGAGCTTTGCAGAGGCACTGGGAGGTTTTGTTCTACTTTTCCTTTTTGTCAAATCAGTAAGCAAGCTCCAGAGCTTTTATGAAACCTTGGGATCCGTGCTGAAAGCCACTGATTTTCTGGGATAAAAAGAATAAAACAGCAGTTAGCAGTTATTTGGGGTTAGCCTGAGCTACACTTTCTTGTTCCTATATGGATGTTTAAACTTCCATTACTACATCATGTGCAAAAAGCATCT